GAAGCTAGCTGAGTTAAAGTCATTAAAAAAATTATTATATTGAAAGAAAGAACTTAGCAAAGTAATGAACAATCTGCACAGATTATTCAAACTACACTCCCCTGAAAAAAGTATTCAAACACAGTTTTTTGTGAATTGTAGCTTAAGTTTATATAATATAAAATTATTATTTATATAATTATATAATGCATATTTTAACGTATTAATTAAATATATTTTATTTTTCATTTGAAACTACTTTGCATATCATACATTTATAAATATATAAAACTGGTTTCAATTAAAAATATCTCAAAATGCAATAAATTTTACATTTTCTAAATTATTTTAAAATGCAATGATTCAATCTTAATTAAGCATACCTTAATAGCAAGTTCTCAGTGAAATGTGTATAATTGATTTAATTTTATATCTTCATAATCAGTATCTTATAAGATATTTGCATTTATATATTTTAATGTTAATCAAAATCAAAGATTATATTTATTGTTTTATAAAAAAAATTCTTAATGCATTTATAAAAAATTGGAAGAATGATATTCTAAATAGGATAGAAAAAATTATTAATAATATTGTTAGTTCAAAAGTTACTAAATTTAAAAAAATAATAAATTTTTAATATCTGGATACTTTTTTAGGGCAGTGTACTATATCTGATACTACAAATGAAATATATCCTTATCTATTATTGCATAATGTATTTCATCAAGTAATCAGATGAGTTTGATATATTAATACTCCTATAAAACTACAATCTTTAGAAAGCTAAATTATTCTTAAAGATATGAAAATAACTTTGGATAGTATTGACTTTTAATTAAAAATTCAATTGTTAATAATGAAAGAGTATTAATATTTACTACTTTGCTAATATTAATTATTTAATACAATTATCCATCTAGATTATAAATAAAATTTTTAAAACTGTTTTAACTATATTTAGATAATTATATACAATTCATAGATATATTAGAAGAAGTGAAAATTCAAAAATTATATCTTTTGTATATCTTAATATCTAGTAAATCTGAAGAATACTATAAAAAATTATTTTAAGATTTAAGTAACTTTAGTGATGAGTATGATATTTGATTTATAACTACAATTTATCTTAATAGATTTTGAAAAAGTAGCAATTAATGCAATTTATAAAGAATTTTAAGTTCAAAATAAAGGATGTTATTTTTATTTATCTTATTAAAATGCAGAATTTTCGTCTTAGTATTTAATATAAAACTAATAAAAATTTCAGTTTATTAATTATACATACACCTACTTTTATTTTTTACATTCAAATGATATTTTTAATATATTAATATATCAGTAGATGCAAATGACATTATAAAATGATTTAAAATTTGTTACATTTATAATAAAGTAAGATGTAAAATAAAAAGTGAAATTATTATTTGATAGAATTAATGTTTTCTCTTTCAATATAGTTAGTTATTAATAATCTTAAATATGTATTTTCTTGAACCTAAAATTCTATTGAAGTTTGATATAGAAGATGAAAAACTTTAGTAGGTCATATATAGATAAGTTTTTTAAAATTATTAAAGATATACAAAAAGAATAAAATTAAGTTCTACTTAATATAGAATTAATTTTGTGAGAAACATAATGACTTTTATAAAGAAGATAAGACTGAGCATAAATATCAAATTTAAAAAGTATATAATGATCATAAAAATAGATCACCTATGAATTTTTTACGTGAAATTGCTTATAATCTTTTATTTTAACAGTTTTTAGTATAGTCAAGTTATTTTATATATTTTATCAATGTTACATATTAATTTAATTAATATACTTATGGGAAAAATAAATAAATAAATAAATAAAATACTTGAAAATTGAAAAATCAAATTTACTAAAAATATAAAATATAGCATTATTTGTAAATTTTTAACTTAAAAATAATTTTTTTTTAGATATCAGAAATATAATTATTAGTAAAATGTCAATTAGTAAAATAAATATATTAGCAAAATGGTGTCTATAAATTATCATTGATAAAATAGTTATTAGCAAAATGATTCTGTTTTAAAAAAGTTTATTAGTGAAATAATGGTTGATAAAACATTTGTCAGTGAAATGAATATAGCCCAATTATTATTATAGGGTTTTCATTTAAAATACTAATTTCAAATGAATATCAAAATGATTTTGGATATCAAAAGTCATTTCAGATATTGAATTGATTTTAAATATCAAAAATCAATTCAGATATCAAATCATTTCAAATATCTGAAAATTGAATATTTTTTTTTTTTTTTTGTTTTTTGTTTTTTTTTGATATTTTTAAAATTAAGTAAGCTTCAGTTTTATTTTTTTTATTTTATTTATTTTTAAAAAAATAATCAATTGAAAAGATTAATTGAAATGATTGGAATTTTTGAATTTTTATTTATTTATAAACAAATATTCAAATATTCTGTTTTCAAATGGAAATCCTATATGATTATTATATATTTTACATTTATAATAGTAATGATTATTATAGTTTAAAATAATATTTCTATTATAAAAAGTAATTAAAATAATAATTCAATAATAATATTAAAAATTAAGTTAATTTTTCATTTAGTAAAATTACATAAAAATTTGACCAATATATATTACGAACGGATTTCAGCCATAAAAGTTCTCTGACAATCGAATATTTTATTCGTTATGATTGAAATTCTAACACCAATGAGATTAAAGAATTGATAGACCTATCCATGCGAAAATACTACTCCAAATCCTAAACATTTTGGCTAGTAAACTTTCAGCTTCGTTCAATAACCCATTAAATACAAAGGACTTATTGAGGAAGTATTGTCAATTTGATCCATATTAATCCCTTATCTTATATACTACTGTTCTGTCTTTATTCTATTATATTATATTCATTCATTAATTTTATCCAAAATTTTTAGTCTGGGGACTATATACTTCTACAAATGACCGGATGTCTGCCCGCTCAATAATTGAGTCAGCTTTTACAATATTTTTCTTTAGTTAAGATCATTCTAGACTTAACAATGGTCCCGTTCCCTAGTGTATTTATATCCTAAAAAGTAATTTAGCATACAGTCATAAATAATATGGTAATAAGGTGAAGCCGTGATCCATGACTGCGCCTTAATTAGTCATGTGATCAAAATGATTAACAAAGTTCACGAAATTAGACCAAAGTTGCTAAAGTGGTCATCGTTAATCTATTTAATATATTAGATAGATTAGTTATAATTAGTATAATCGTTACACTTGTTAATTATATCATAGTTAGTAGAGTAGTTATATTTATCTTATTTATCTTTTATATTATATTTATTATATTATATTCAAGAGTTCAATAAAGGGATCTTTAAATACATTTACTATTGCCTTTTGCCGTGTCTTCATATAGGCGTGATTGTGATATTGTCTTGTATTTAATTTGACGGATTGAATTAAAAGTTTATCGTTTAAGTTTACAGATACCAAGCCAACAATGGTAAACCGATTAACCATTGCTATGTACTCGTTCAATGTAAGTATGAATAAATAAAGAATTTCTTTGAATATTTAATATTTTTACATTGCTATCAAAATTAATGATGATTCCATGGATGAGGCACATTAAATATTTAATATATTAAAATTTTTGTAAGCATTAATTAGGGATGGTAACGGTCGGTCGTGGTCGGTCAACAGTCGGTCAACGGCCTTTGACCGACCGACCGGTTAACTGACCGATTTTAACTGACCGGCTAATAATAATATAATTGAGGAGTTTTGGATTAATATAAAGTTTAATTTAGCCAAATATTATAATTTTGATTCTTGCTTTAACAATACTAGCATGGCACTTTTTAAAATTAGTGGCGCCAACATTATCGCGGATTTAATTTTTTTATTCAAAATTTCAAAATTTTAATTTATAGATAATTAAAATAAAATGTTTGATTTTATAAATTTAATACAAAGTATATTTTACTATTTTTAAACATGGTTGTTCAGTCTCAAGTCAGAACCGGTTAAAATCGGTCAGAATCGGTTGGTCAGAAGCCTTTGACCGACCGATATCGGTCACGGTTATGACCGGTTATGACCAGTCATGATTAGCATCCCTAGCATTAATATTGACATACATATAAAAGTATTTATTTAGTAAATATAGTTAGTTTAATATATTTTTGCTAGTTCTAATCTTTATATTAGGACAATCAGAAAAGTTGACTAACCCACAACATGGATCTCAATAATCTCTATGAAGTCAATTCTTTATAATATTGTGTATATGTGTCTTGTAATGAGTTAATCATTACATGTGACAAATTGACAAATCTGGTTATAAAGTATGTGCGTCATAAACTAAGCCCGAAATTTTTTTCAATCAGCAATGGTAATAAAATAAATTATTCTAATAATTTAATTAAGTAATAGTTACCAGTTTTTTTTTTTTTTAACCTTTTTTTGATGTCGGATTTTGTTCATAACTATTATGTTCACAATTAGAGTTATGGTGCAAATTTAGGGAACAAGAGATTTTGGGTAACCATATTTTATTTCTATATATTCTACTTTAAATTTTATGCCAACTAAAGATGAAATAAAAGATCAATCCATTTAAGGCAAATCGATACGCAAATGTAACTACAATCTTGAGATAATCTGAACTTAATCTTTGCTATATTTTTTTTTTGTTTCACTAATCGACAATGAACAACTTTTTAGTAAACCAAACCCCTTTATTTTTATTTTTATCAAAAATAATTGTCGGACAAAATTAATTAAAAAAAGGAAAAAAGGAAAGGTTCCAAAGTTCCACTACATTATATTACTCCCCTTATTTTTTTATTTCAAAGTTCTCAACATTTTTATCACAACATTCCATTTTTTTTTTTTTTCCTTTTCAAGCTCTAATAATGACATTAATAACGTCTTTCATTAGCAAAAGAAATTTAGTATCTTATTCCTGGACACTTCTCCTTCTCTCAATTATAATAACCAATACGTATGCACATGGAATGGGCGGTGATGATGATGTTGCATCTGATGGAAAAATACCCTCTGTTTTTGCAAATGATAATCATGGTACTTTGGCCCAAGGAAACATAGGTCTTGGATTTGGTCTAACGGTTATGGCAGCTCTTGCTTCTGCTCTTGGTTCCCTTACACCATTCCTCGACCTCTTGTTTCCTTTTATCCCATTCCTTGCCCATGTTAAAATCACTGAATCCAAGGGTTTTCGTGCTGGCTCACTATCATTTGCTTCTGGAGTCTTATTATTCCTTACATTGGGTGACCTTTTTCCTGAGGCTGTTGCGTCGTTTGGCAAATCGAAACTCTTTGATCGAAAATACTCCTATCTAGTGGCTGCGTCGATTTTCACTCTTACGATAATGCTAATTATATCTTCAAAGATGATTATTAAAAACTTCAAAAAACAAGATATTAACTCTGAAGATACCAAAGCTGATGAAGATGCTCTTGTAAAAAGAGAAATGTTAGGGAGAAACGATTTAACTGATGTCGTCAAACTTGATAAAAATGTAACCGAAAGTAGTGAAAGTATTAAAGAATCTCACTCAATAGATGCTGCAAGACTTAAAAGTTTGAGTATTCAAATTTCCGTTGCTTTGGCACTTCAGTAAGTAAAATAAAAAATTTTAAATCATAGATAAAGGGGTTATACGCTAAACGTTTTCATTATTCTTTCACCCAGCAACTTCCCTGAAGGATTGGCATCATTCGCTACGACAATTAGTTCGGAACGCATCGGCATTATATTTGCCATCGCACTTTCTTTGCAGTAAATATATTAAAAGTTCACGTGTTATTTATTATTTTAAAATCACTTACGAAAAAGAATTATGATATTACAGTAAAATCCCCGAGGGTCTTATCATTGCATTACCGATTTATTATGCGACCGGTTCGCGTTGGATTGCTTTTGCTATTTCAGCGACCGTGGGAATCGTTTCACAAATGTTAGGTGCCGTCTTGGGATATCTTCTATTCGTGACCGTATGGAATGATGCTGTATCAGGGGTACTCTTTTCGATCGTAACGGCTTCTTTAATGTATGCGATTTTACATGGCATGTTGCCAATGGCACGACATTATGATCCTCAGGATATGTACGTTACTAATTACACATTCATTGGCTTAATCTTCTTTGCCTTTGTCGCGTCTATATTTGAATTTGCTTAATTATCCGCACCAAAAAATTTTTTTTTTTGTTTTAAAAAATCTGTAAAAATACATTCCCATTTCACACCCCATTTTTTTATTTATTGTACAATACAATATGTTTTGTCCTGACTTTCTTTGTAACCTTTTTCACGGGTGGATGTTTCTGTTATATAATGTATTTATCTTATTTATGTGCGAAATAAATCAGTTAATAAAATCTACCAAAAAAAAAAAAAAAAAAAAAATAACTTATAATTCGAAAGTTCAATTAGAAAATGAAACAATTGTATTATTTATTCACTTGCACGTTGTCTTCCGAGTTGTAGCCTTCCGAATTGATTCTTCGATATTAATCTATTTAATTTTTTAAATTGAACTTTGACTCATTTTGTAAATTCTGATTAAATTGGAGGGTTCAAATAATAGAGAAATAAACAGTTGAAAGCGTCTTTTGTCTGAAGAAAAAAAAATATTTAAAAGATTAAATATGTCATACACGAGAGGATGGATTTTATCTCAACACTTTGAATTTGATTTCTCAACTGTTTTTGTTTTGATGTCGTCAAACACGTTTTTGCACGAATCACGTCATTTTCTCCTTTTGGACCATCCGAAACAAATTTCAAATACTAAATGAATTGCCTTCAATATTTATCTTACAAATGATTGATGCTTGATGTTGCACAAACAAAAAATCGATAATTAATGAGGATGTACAAGATATTGATGTCGTTTTTATTGATTCTTTATTCCGAAAATTTAAGGTTACTAATATTTTTATTACTGATATGATATGATTTTTTAAACAAAAAATTTATGATACGGCTTTTTTTTTCCATACACAAACTTTATGATAATACCATTTTAAATGATGGCTTATGAATTTATTTCACGGCATCAATACCTTTGATCCTTAACCAATAAATCGGTACAGCACATTAGAAAATTGAAATCCGTTAATATCAAAAAAAAAAAAGAACCTGTTTTTAGTAAAAAATTTCGATATGAATATATTTTATTGTCATACAACCTTTATTTTCATTTGTTGTTTAAAAAATTTTTTTTTTTTTATTCAAGTAAAAATAAACAATCATTTAACACCTTATTCAAAAGTCAATTTAAAGAACCATCAAAATGGTGAAAGCAATGATACATGACGTGATAATAAAATGTAAAGGGGTTCCAACAACTCCACTGGATTTAGGTGCTTCAGCAGGAGCAGGGGAAGGAGAAGGAGTAGTAGAAGGAGCAGGAATAGGAGCAAATACTTGAGGTTTGTCCGAAATCTTGATATCTGCGCATTGATATTGAGTCAGGGTGGTTGACTGTAAAAACGCTTGAAGCACACCTTGATCACCAACTTTGGCACTAGCCTTGGTGAGATCAAGTGTTGTATTAAGATACTGTGGATAAGCGAAAGCATCGGTATATTCGATCGTGATATTTTCTGTGCATATCAAAAAAAAAATAACTTGGTTAAAAGTTCTTTTTTTAAATAGATTCCCTAGTAATTAAAGCATTATATACCTGAAACAGGCACGAAAGTACCACTAGAAGTGGGTGCGTAGCTGTAAATAATTGTACCAGTAGCAGGATCTCCAAACCTGCCAGTAACCACACCATCTATTTATGTAAAAAAAAATACAATTTACAAAATTTACTTGTTTTTTCCCATAATTAAAAACAAAAATCTAGTGTATGTTTAAAGCTTTTAAAATATGAAGTCAAGCGTTGTTAGAATTCTTACTTATAGGAAATTCGGTTATGGAAGTAAGGTTTATCTCATTAAAACCTCCACAAGGAAATTGGGCATACAAGTCACCTCCAGACCCTCTATTTGGAGGGGTAAAGAACCTAAAATGAGCATTCGCTGAAGAGATGAAAGCGAAGAAAAGAACAAGGATAGAAGCAAAAGTCTTTGAGGTATTCATATCTTGATAATGTAATTAAAGAATTCGTAAAAATAAAAATAAATAAATAAAATTTTTTTTATTTATTGTAAGGATGTATCCTCCAAAGGGGGATTTATATTTTGATTTTGGGGTGGATGAAAACGATCTCAAATTTTGAATTTCTAATGATTGTAGTACAAAAATTTTATAGCGTAGATAAGGTTCAGATTATCTCAAGATCGTGTACCTATAAATTAAGATTTGCGTTAGTCTAGATTTATGTACACAAAAAAAAAAAAAAACTTTTAAGGAAAATAATGTTACATTAGAGAAGTTTCCAAAGAATCATGTATGACGATAATATTTTATATCATATAATTGTATTGTTTTAGATGTGCTTTTTTTTTTCTTTTAATTACATATGCTGAAGTATCCTTCATTTTAGAAACTTACAGTCATAGTAGTAACTTTTTCTGTCGTCTCAGTCCATTAAATTTTATAAAACTTTTAATTTAAAAATCGTGTAACATAAATTCTGATTGGTTAGCTGTTAGGAAAATCAAAATTAATAATTTATTTTAATTTATTTAATTTTTTTAGTAAGATTGGGTTCTGATTATCTCGAGTTGAAATCAAAGTACAAGTACTCGTAATAGTCAAAATTAAACAAGATTTTGCTTGTTAAAAATTAAGATTCGCGCAACTCATCAATTCGGAAATTGAAGTTCCGATTTTGTATTAATTTAAAAATTTCTTTGCATAAGTCAAAAAAATCAATTATTGTTCTTTTAAGAAATCACGTCACACAATAGAGATACCTACAAAGTTTTACTGTGTTCGTATCTCCTATGATTCCTATTATTTGCGTTACAAATTAATGTCATATAAATGAAAGATAACAATAAGATGATTTTGAGAGGCACAGTTTTTAGATAAGAAATCGATTTTTTTCTTTCACCAAGAATATATTGTATCACTTAGAAGATTTTTAATACAATTTCGAAGGCTGATTTGCTTGCAGATCTTGTAGATCGATCTCACCGATAGGACGGTTTTGCCCGATCTTCCCGATCGGTAAAAGATTAAGTTTTTAAAGAATATTGATAATAGACATTTCTAAATTAATGCCTTTTTTATAATAAAAATAAGAAAGAGAAACATGCAGAAAAAAAAAGTTAAAGCCAAATGAAAAAAAAAATTTAACAGAAAAGTGAAAATTTTCAACTTTTTTCTTGAACAATCTAATGGGCTTGTAAGATCTACAAACTCAATAATTATGATAAAAAAAAATTTTGACATCTACATAATTTCAACCCCTTTTCTATTGTTCATTTTGGGTTTAACATTGTGCTTCGCATATGGGCGTTTGTTAATATCGTACCAATCCTAACTTAAAACAAGAAAAAAAAATTCCAGATTTTACCCTTTCGACTTGAGCACAGTATGATGTATGATATTATAAATATTTGTCGCAATAATTTTTTTTTTTTATTTTAAAAAATAATAACGTAATTTTCGTATTATTCAAAATATCACATATTGCTAATTAAGTAAATTCATAGCAAATGGGAATTCCATATATTTGATGACCGTAAATGTCTCTGACGGTTGCGCAAAAAAAATAAAATACAAAGAAACTATAATTTCAGTATAAGCCATTTTATTTCTAAAAAAAGTTCTCCGCAAAAGATTTATTCTTTTACTACAATAACTTAATCATAAAAATTTAAAATCTAACGTAATATAATTATGATAAGTTCAAATTTCGATATTTACAATATTTTAATTTCAACGTGTCGATGAATTAATTATCGTTAGTTCTAAATTTTATTCCATACAGGTCTTGAAGAGTAAATTTGACAGCTGCGTATCAGAAAGAAAATCTAACTTTGATTTTATGAAAGAATGAGCGCCAATAGATTTCTTGAATCAGAAGATACCCAATTAATGAATTTACATCCGAGTCTGCGCCATACCCTCATTTATTATTTCATTCTCATTAATATCATCATTTGATAATTTGGGGGAAGAGCATAATAACAATTTCTTCAACATTCTTCGATTTCACTGACGGAAATCCGCGGTATAACAATGCGCTTCCAGCAAAGCTGTTTTTCTAAAAGCCTGAAATTTTCACTTTTTAGTAACGTATATTAATTAGTCATTTTTTTATTAAATGATGATAAAGACTTTGTATACTAATATTTAAAGATTATTTTATGATCTTTTCATATTTTAATATATAAAATTAAAAATATTTGTTTATTGATACATTGCAATAAAAAGAAAGTAAACTACTAAAAAAAAAAAAAAAAAAAATCATTTATATGCTAAATTTAATTTTTAAAGTAAAAAATATTCAGATTTAATTCAAAAAAATCTATTTAGTTTTTTCTATGAAAACATTTATAATATTACAAATAATTATATTTTAGCTATAAAGTAATTATAACAACAAAGTTTAATTTAATTAAATTAGTTAATTATATATATAGATATTTACTAATAATTTATAGTTATTAAGCAATATATTTGATTTATAAATTTTGTTAATTCATAAAAATATGTATTATATATTGCTTATTTTAAGATTTGTAAATAAATCAAAAGGTTTAGCAGATAAACCAAATAGTAAAAGATAATATTTGGTAAAATTATATTAAAATATTATAAAAATCTAAAAAATTCAGAAAAGATAAAACTATATCAAACTTTATAAAAATGACAAATAAATAAAAAAATTAATAAATTAAAAATTTAGATGTTATAATTATCAAAACTCTAATTTTACAAATTATAGATATTTTATAAATTCAATTTTTATATTGTATTTTTTTTTATTATATTTTTATTAATCACCAATAAAGGATCTTTATGTCATATTATTTTTTATTATTGCCATTTTCAAAATAGTGTGATTTTCTGCAAAAATAACATTCAATAAAAAAATTCAAATTTCAAATTTTATATAACATTAAGATCTAGCCAATTATGTACTGACAATTAAAATTTCATGATCATAATTTTTTTTACATAAAAATGTCTTCTATTTTGATTTCATAAGAAACTATCAAATTAACGCTTGTTTTATATATTAATTATGCATGTATTGTGGTATAAATTTGACATTAAACAACTGTAATTGTGATAAAGACATCAAACCAATTAAAATAATAATTCCAACATATTATATTTTCAAAATTTAATTTACAAACTGAATAAAATACATAAAAAAATGAAAAATACATTATTGTATAGCAACCATAATTATGACTATAAGTTAAACATGAAATTGTTATATTATTTTACACTTTATTTCGCATGTAATAGTCAAATTAATAAAGTAGTTGTTAAAGAACAAAAAAAAAATAATTTTACTAACTAAAGATAATTCGTTTCAAGAACAATTACAAATAGAATTCCAAATATCTATCAAATAAAATAAACAAACATTATCTTCTTTAATAGTTAGTTTTATTTTAGAAAAATCTAAGTTTTATTAAATTTAGAAATGAACTTGAAATACATATCTATGAACATGTTGGATTGGTTTATTAATCTAAATATAATTTGGCATATAAATCAAGTTTAGAAAGTGAAGCTAAAACATTTTTAGGTAGTAAAGAAGTATTTGACAAATTTTTAAAAGATTATCAGATCATAGTATTAGAAATTAAAAAAGCAATAATTATCATTATACTTAAAGAATTATCTAAAAATATTCCTATCAGATATTTATAATTTTATAATTTATTATTTATTTTAAAATTATTTATTAAATTTGTTTTATATTATTAAATTTTGTTTATAAGATGAAGTTTTAGAACAAGAATCTAATAATGAATTAGAAAATAAGAATCATTCTCGTCAAAAAACCAAATTTAATAAACTAAAAGTATCAAAGAAATGTATTAAAAATTATATACCTAAAGAAACTAATCTAAATGAAAATAAAGTATTAGTTAGATCTTATGTGATAGAGTTAAATAACAAATATATCTAATATATTAAAATTATAAATACTGTTTAATTAAAGATAATTTTTATTTATCTTTAAACAATTTTGCAATCAGCTTATAGACTAAGAAAGTTATATGTAATTTGTAATAATTATTATACATTAAATATACTAAATTAATTTGTTAATTAGTATTTTTTTATTATAAGTAAATAAGAATACAGATTTAAATATCCCTCCTAATCATACTTTATTTAGTATGATGTATTCAGTAAAAGTAACTAAAAAAAATTCTTTGTCTGATAAATTTACTCAATTATATCAATTGTTATATCTATCATTATCATTATAACTATTGCATTCAATACTATCTCATTTATCACATAATAATTTTGATTATAATTTTGATATCTAAAGTAAATCCTGTAATTTATCACTTACTTTAGATTATAGTTTATTTCACATATATCAGATCATAATTTATTAAAGAAAGTTGTATCAAATATGAAAGATTTTTTAGAAAGATTAGATAAAGAATTTGATAATGGTAAATTTTTTTATTATTTGTCTATTTTTGAAGAATAAGAAATTTGTATTAGTCATCTTACAAAATTATTAGATTCTAAATATATTTTAATAAGTATAATAATTATTATACATAGGCAAATATTATATAATGAAGCAAAAAATATGAATAATAATTTTTTTTGTATGTATTTATTTTATTCAATAGAACAAAAAGCATTACTATGATAATAAATAGCTTATTTATATATATTTTTAATAAAATTTTAAGTGTAAAATATTATACATTATAAACTAATTCTTCAAAATACTTTTTTGCTATTTCTGATATAGTTTGAATTAATATAATTAAAATTAAATATATTGGATCAAAATGATTTATAAAATCTCTATATCTTTTTAATCAGAACTTCAATGCTAAAAAAAGCTATTTTGATTGGGTTGAAGTTTGATAAATAAGAAGGTTAATAAAGTATTCTACAATCAATATTATTACAATCAGTTCTTTAAGATGCTTATTAATGATAAGCAAAGCAATATTTATGAGTGGTAAGCA